CTTAACCATTTAGACATCTGAACCATTAAGAGGTTGAAACAAACAGTCTGAACCATTAAGTGCTGAACCATTCAGACATCTGAACCATTAAGAGGCTGAAACAAGCAGCCTCTTAGTTGACACTACGGTGCTACCGTAATTTTGAGGCACATACGGTATTGCAACCGCTCCCAAACCCACCCCCAACTTCTTCCATTTCAGCTGCAAAGTCACCAAAACTTTGGAGATGAAATTGAAGGGATCGACGTGGGTCAAGCCGGAGGGGGGATTATAGAGGTTAGAAGAGTAAAAATCACAAACAAAATATAGTAGGAACTTTAATTGGAGGTAATATTCTCCATTAACACTAATTTTGAGTGTCAAAACTGTCGTCCCATTGTTTTTTCACCAACAAATCTTACGTGCGAATTTTTTTCTCTTTTGAGTACACTTTGACTATTTCTACGGACAAACCTTATGTAAATTCCCTTGGTTCGAATTTATTTGGTCAGTTTTTATCAAAAATAATCATTCACAACTCATATTAGTAATAAATACTAGTAAACTAGCATTTTGACCCGTGCCACGCACGGGGTCGAACGAATGTCTTGTTGGTTTTGAATTTTTTTCATTGTAGTATTCTTTTTGGAATAAAGAAATATATTTCTTACATGATTTATAATAACATGGAGAAAAAAAGCCAAAGTAAAATGAATAATTTTTGAGGAATGAAATGTGTACACAATAAAGTTTGTTTTAATACCAAATTTTTTGAAAGTCCTTCAGGGTATATTTTGAAAGGTATTGAGTGGACTGTCATCTGGAAATGGCATACCACTTACCCTTATTGATATATTTAAAGAGATATTTGATTGAATTAGATTTGTTGCCATATTTAATATTGATGTGAGCTTGATACCTCATCAAGAGTTGTGGGTTGTATGGCACAACAAATCGATTATCCAACTCGATATCCTTTCTTCTTGTGGTGATACCCATGTTTCTTCTTCTGTATATTGGGTACCCATTCTCATCAAACGATGTCTTGCCAACAAATTTTTTCAGGAAATATTTTTTGCATCTTCCATCGTCCATACATGGAGATCTAGCATCATCTATGCCACAAAGATTAATCCCGATGAATCTTCGTTGATATCATAATGGAAGAATAATATTTTGCAGAGATTAATCCCGATCAATATTCATTGATATCCCAATCAAAGATTTTACAGAGATTATGTTACGGGATTATAATTATTATTATCATCATTATTATTAGTATTATTATTATTATTATTATTATTATTATAGGTAAGGTATTATATATGGTTAGTTAATTAAGATTAGAGAATATTATTTTTGTTAGGTTATTAATTAGTTTCTTATTTTATTTAGTTTCTTTTATGGATTGGACTCTCTTAGGGTTCTAGAGTTTCATTCTATAAATTGAGATGTACGTGTTTAGAATTATTCAATCAATAAGAAACCATTTTTCCTAACCCCTAATCTCTTCCTCTCCCATCTCGTTCTTCTATTTCGCCGAACAAAGTGTCGTGCGATTCTCTCTTTCTCGCCTCTTTTGTTCTTGGAGCTCGAAGGTGCTCGAAATCCTTCCCTATCCGATACGATACCGTATCA